TAGTTCACCAGCGGGTTCATGTGCACGACCGGGTCGAAGAGCATGTCCAGGCTGATGTTCCTCTCGTTGGCGTTCTCGATCTCCCGGAGATAGTTCCAGCCTTGAAGCTGAAGCCCCTTCCGCCAACTCCCCTCCCTCACGTTCACGACGTCCCGGGAGGATAGGCATCTGCCCCACATCATCTGCTCGTCCCCCTGGATGGAAGACCACCGGATATCCCTGGGGATACGGTCCCTGGAGCATTGGCCATCCAGGAATCTGCTCTCGCGTCAAGGCTTGAGCTGCATCCACCAGTCCAGATTGTCCACCACCAAGAAGAGCTCCGCCAGGTAGAGGAGGGAGTAGTCCAGCCAGCATCGTTCCTGGAGGGGGTTCCTGTCGTGGTTGACCACCATCCATGATCGCCGCCCTGGGCTCCGTGTTCGCTCCAGCTGGGGTCTTGTCAGTCACCGTCTGTCTCGTGCTCTTCACCAAGGCCGGTCGCCTTGCACTAGGCTCCGCACTTTGGGTGCGACGTGCTGGAGTCTGCTGTGCTAAGAGTTCATCGAGCCTCTCGTCCGCGGTCTGCTGCCGCTCTTTCGATGAGGATCGCCGCCTTGCCATCAACGATGTCATGGCGTCACCGCTTTGGGCTCATAACCCATGCTTCACGAAAAGCGGTCTTTGTTTTCTTGAGCCAAACACGCAGGCGTTTCGGCCTGTGGTCTTGTGTACCTAGTTGTACACTTCTCGTTTTGTGCGTCCTGTTTCAAGATCCGCAAATATAAATAGACTCTAGACCTGGAAAAAAAAGACAGAATCGTGCAGTTTCAAAGAGCCATGGTTTCAACCTCCGGCAGATTGCTCTCTGGTCCCCACTCGGTGAAAACGTCTGTCAAGCCGCTGCCCCGGTGCCGCCGATCTGCGCAGCTCGACGGCACCGCCAAGGCCGTGAGTTCACAAGTCAGATCCCTTCACGATCTGATCCTGAAAGTGTACCATCCTGACAGGACATGTACATCACCAGGAGCACCTCTTCTGTTTACCAATAAACGCTATCGGAGTATCCCGGTATCACAAGAACAGGATTATATATATATATATATTTATAACTATGTATAAACCCTTTCTGGTCATGAAAGTCCCGGTATCACGATGTTGACCTACCACCGATCTTCGGCGCGACGTGAATCAGTCTCTTCTTCGCTAAGGGAAAAACCATTATGACACTCTTTCAGCTGCTTGGAGAAATTGGGTTGCGGATCCCGCGCAAGCCTCAAGCTCTTCTCATTCAGCTGCAGGTACTTCACCATCTCCTAAAAGAGAAGATGGTAAGGGAAAAACAATGACTTGAGAAGAACAGAAAAAAATCAGCATTCCTGGACTACTCCATCCCCACCCACTTTCTTCACCCGGCGTGGAGGATTTGTGGATGAAGATCCAGGAATTGGTGGAATCGAATCGACTACCTCCTTGCCCGATTGTAGAAGGACAAGCTATGAATCACCCCGCACCACCCGAAACACCCAGCATTGAGTTTCCTCAAGGGCGCCACAGGCATGGCCACAAGCACCTATCGAAAATTGACTGAATGGGATATGGAGGTGGTTCCACAATCCACAACATGTTTGTGGCAACCAGCACTGTTGGACAGTTGCAGGTCGACGGCCGACAGTTTCACCACATGTCGCAGCGGGTGACAGCCTCGGACCTATTGACATTCACGACGGCGGCTGACGAGGACCTGGCACCCATACCACTCATACTGGCTTCAAACAACTTGGGGCCTCAATGGCTTTGCGAATCCTGTAGCCTCCAATCAACCATTGACTCAGTGACTCAATCATTCATCTGCAGCAAGGATACCATCCCACACTCAGCCTTGAAGGCAAGAACCGACGCCAGCCGCGTTCCCAACAACGCCTCTCGCCTTCACGTAGCCCGACGCCTGCTGTCGGGTGAGCGCGACCATATACAGGTGCTGGACGTTGGGGCAACACATGAGCGCTTTCGCGCCAGCTGGCGTGTTGATGCCGGCGAAGTGGATGAAGATGACCCGCAAGATCTGGGGCACGACGGGTGGGAGATGCCCAGCAGGAGCCAAAGAAGGAAAGGGTGAGGCCGCCAGGCCGGTGAGGATTCCAAGTGCGAGAACACTTCATGGATGCGTCTTGCATGTGAGATTGTATCGAACTGGGAAATTGATTAACGATGTGCATTGGCATCTACGTGGGGACGGTGCCATCTCCACATTAATTTTTAGCCCATGCGTGAAGAACTTTATATATACAGTAATAAGTTTACCTTGTTTCCTATTCAGAGAGCTCCTGAATTTCCCCTTTTGTGTGAACCATGCCCTGCAGTTCGCACAAGCGTTGCGCGCGACGGGATATCTACACTGAGATCTACAATTCCCGCAATCATCAACGCAATAATCAAACAAGATAAACAAGTGGTTTTCCAATGTTTTCTTTTAGGGAGTGCAACCTTGGCAATCTGACAGCTCTGAGCTCGCGTTGCGCCACTGCAGCTCACCTCACCTGCTGCCCACGCTCGGGCTCGAGGTCCGGCTCCGAGTCGAAGAAGACCACGTGATCTGCGTCCATCCGGCGCGTGGTCGTCTCACACCCCAGTCGTTCACCCTTGGGGACTCGCTTCCAGTCGAAGACCAACGGGTGGATTTCGGGTGGCCCCTTCTCGCCCTTCGGGTTCACCGACGCTGGTCCGTCTGGCTGCGTTCCTCGCCAACCGACGCAGCGGCGTCGGCCCGGTCTGACCGCCTGTGTCAAGGATCGGCAGCAGCTCCGCGGGGATCTGCCGAGACCCAGGCGGGCGGGCAGCGGTGGTGCCAGTGGTGCCCAGGCTCCAAATCCTGCGCGTCGAAACACAACGAGCGGACATAAAACGTGAGTCAGCCCCGGATGAGATATTCAGATATTCATACCCTATACAGGTCCAAAGACCCAGTACAACCTGGTCCCTGACTTCATTGAGTAAGAGTTTGTGTATGAATGATCTCGCAGGGTATAGATATTCCTTGCTTTGGGACGTCATGTCTAAGTCGTTTGGTCTCCTGCAACCCCCATCGCTCCCACCTGGCCTCTGCCGTGGCGCCGGGAGGAACTCTGACCGGTGGCCATCATAGCTCCCCATGGCTCCCGGTGCCACCGCGGACCGGCTCGGTCCTCGCTCCGTGAGCGAAACTCGGTGGAGAGAGACAAGTGGATGTGGTGGGCCTATGGAAGTGCTGGTCTTTCTTCTTGGGTTGTCTTTTTCTGTCAATCTCTCTTGCGTTGTGGCCGGAGATGGCTAAGAAGGCTTCATTAAGGGTTGGCTCCTGGATGATGCACCATTGCTGGCTAGTCATTATGGCACGGTCCTTGCAGATCTTTTGACCGATGCTGAGCCCAAGCTGTGAAGAAGTGCTTCGCCAAAAAGAGCGGTCATCAAGCTGATCATGGTCATAAGTCATGAGGAGTCTCCCTGTAGGTGTTCCCTTAAATCAGTCAGTTCAATTTTGACAAAAAAAGAATATGTGTATGTACACTGGCCTAAAAGATCCTACAAGTACTATATATGTCGAAGACCTCGGCCAGGTTGTCCACAAACCTGAATCCCACTTTCATGGTCACTGTGGCCAACTGTTTGCACATGCCAAAAGATCCAAAATCGAAACCAAATGGCCCCAAAAAAGCAGTCACCGTGTCGTTCGCTCCGCCGTGTCAAACGGGAATTGGTCAGAACCGAGGCCAGTCCCTTACAGGACCACATTTCAATTGGTCATGCAATTGGAATTAGCTCCGTGGTAGAATGATGGACAAATGAGAGTGCGTCTCTCTCCGTGGCGAATGGGTACAGGGGCAAGAAAAAAGAGGTGCCAAAGAAACCGCGAGCTGTGCACCAATGAGTGGAGCAATGCATGGAAAGGATTGGAAAGGCTGCACCAATGAGCCATTTCATGGAGTTGCATGAGTTTCATGGAGTTGCTACCGTAAAACCTGTACCAAACAGTGCCCAACCCAACATATCAGCACCGATCCCACTGTCATCTCTGCCTCCAGGCAGCATGCCTCCTCTTTTTCAGTTCGCAGGATTTCCATCGCCTTCGGCTTTTCCACCTGCTTGTCCCCCTGCTGGTCTACCTGCCGTGGCTTCATTGACCATCAGCGTGTCACATCCATTGGCACATGGAAAAGGATCTCTGCGCCCTGGTTCAGAGCTGGACATTGTATATTAATGTTTCTTATTGATAAATATAGGTGCTCAGGCGAAAAGGTGTGGGTGAGTGTGATTAGGATAAGTCCTGGAACCTTGATTCCGATTGGACAAGTCAAAGCTGTACACTGTTCATGGTTGAATCTGGAGTTCCCAGCGGCTAGGCTGTGTGTGTCTCAAACCAGGAAAAAGTGGGGCGTTTCGTTCTTCCCCGACGTCATCCACTTGGACCCATCACCAAGCTGGAAGGCCTGTAGCATCGAGCTCCAGGGTGAATGTGATTCGAGCCGGAGCTTTTAAGAGTGCGACCCAGCAAGATGGAATAGAACCAGGACCAACAGTTGGTGTGGTGAATAGACACCCATTATATAACCTGCGTGGACTCATAGACACCCCAGATGCCTGCAACATCTGGAGACTCGAAGAAATTCTCATCTGCGCCCATTCTGACGATGAAACTTTGGGATCATCTTCACACATTCCGCTCGGATTGGCGGAAGTTGGAAGATGGTGGAAGTGGAGGTACCACGACATCTGGCCCGATCAACTGCCGGGCCATGGCTCTAAAAAAAGTAAAAGAATCGTGAAAACATGGTCCCTACCATAGACCCCTGTCCACATGCCTTGGAATAATAAATCATATTACTACTATTCCAAACCCATTCCACATCGATCTGGCAAATGATTCCAACCTGGTCACCCACAAACTCTGACAGGAGCATATGTCACACTGTCAAAATCCAACATAGAAGGGGACAATGAGCCCCATATGGCCCCCTGGAAAGTGCATGTTCCATATTTCCTCTACAAAACGAATTAGGAGGTGAACTCCACGTTCATGTTTGTTGGAGGAAGAGTACCACCTCAGCTAATGTCACATTCTCCCTCCATCGATCTGCAGAAGCCCTCCGGGTGCAGGTTTTCGGCTCGTGCAGAAGCCCGGCTCCGCTCTTTTTGATGGCGCAGGTGCCGCGAAAATTCACGACTGCGGAAGCTTCTTGAGGGCGTTGTAGATCAAGGCCTGGGCTTGGCCGCGAGGAAGAGGCTTGGAATGGAAGTGGGTTCAGCCACTGGGTTATAAGGAATGCACACTCCCTGAAATATTCATGGAAGTGGATGGCACGGCCCTGAAAGCACGGACCCTTTTCCGAATACCAAGCAGATGGTGTTCCAGGTCCATGATCCTTTCAGGGAGTGCGCAGGGAATGTAAATGGAGGTCAGCCCCAGGTTCGCCCTAAAAGTTGGTCTTCAGCCCACATTAGCTGCCCGAAACCCTTCATGGCCACAGGTTTCGCGCCTCATCCTGTACGATGTGAGCCCCTAGGGTGCCTTGATCAGTGCCAGTGCTGCGCCCTTGCAGCCCATCTTGGACGAAGAGCTGGAACACCTGAGGCGATCCGGGCGATTCCCGAAACCGCTAGAGGGGCGAAGAGGCTTGGAGACGAAGTGGAAGCCCTGCGGGAGAAAAGCACATCTGAGGACTATAACTTGTTAAGTCCCCCCCTTCTGTGCCGATGCCAATGTATTAAGAGGCTGCTCAAAGCGTTGAGCGTCGTGGCGTGGATCCTGGGGCGGAAACATGCGGAAGTTCATGGAGGCCGCAGCAAAAGCTGCAATAGACTCCAATCCACCACTGGGAGAATGCGGAAAACACATGTGCCAAATGATGACAGTCAGGGAACGCGAGACGGACATCGGTGTCAACATATGCTGCAAGGATACAGGAACCAAGAACAAAATGATGTAGATAGCCATCTCTGTCCTTGGTGAAGATTTCAGACGGTTCCTGCAACCGGTCTCGGATCCATTCGGGTGGCTAAAGCCACCGGTACAGGTTTCCAGATTGGACGTTCATGACTCGCTTTCATGAACCAGAGCATATGATTCAACTTGATCTTCATTCACGGCAAGAAAGCACTGGACCATCAGGTCAATCACATGTTTGGGTTTGTTGGTGTGAGCACAGGAGCCATACCTTAGGTGGCTCTTGAATGTCTTGTTGGCACACGAGTCATGCCCGCTACAGAGAGAGAGAGAGAGAGGGTGATGGGCCTTCTAGGTGATAGTTTTGTCTTGTTCTTGTCCTTAAGTGATTAACAACTCCAAAGCAAACCAGATCTCCGCCAAAGCTCACTAGAAGCTACTAGGAACAAGGGCATCACTACTAGTAGCAAGAAGCTACTAGTAGCTAAGGGGTGAACACCTCAGTCTCGCTGCCCGAGCCCGGGCCCCTGGATCTCAATCCAAAGCTGAGAGGCACAAAGAAGAGCGCCGAGCGCTGTTTGATCCGCTGCTGCGCCAAGAACTTGAGCCTCTAGCCGCTCCGGAGACTCAAGAGCCGGTCTTGTCTGGGAAGGCACCTGAACAGTGCTGGTTTACTGGGTGGGTAGAGGTGGCAAATCGGACATTAGAAAGTATGAGTTTTTTGAACACCAAATAAAAATATATATATATATATTATATTGTGTATAATAGATCTCCGGGACAAGGCAGATTCAGCACATCAGGCTTCAGCCGGTGGTCTTTTGTATGGTGCACATCCTACGAACGCTTCGCCCGACGCTTCGCCGTCGCCCGACGCTTTCGTCCAGGGCGCCGCTTCGTCTCGGCCACCGTCCGCCGCTCGGACGAGGAGAAGGATCCCTCCGCCACGTCCCGCTCCGTGGACTCCGCGAGGCGGTGGCACAGCTCTCCGATGCGGTCCTGATTGAAGTCCTGGGGCGGGTGGGAGACCTAGACATCCAAGTGTGGGGGAGTGTGACTCCATCAATCCCTCTGATAATTTGATGAGTGCATAATATGATAAAATCATGAGGGAGGCGGACAACATGGCAGATGACCAGTTTCCCTCTTCCCTGAAATTGGGTTTAAAAATGTGGAGAGATTCCGAGGACAAAAGCTGTACACACGCAATCACAGACCACCACGTCCGAAGGCAGTAGGAAAACCACTATTTGTACATTGGCCTGGGAGCATCAAGACATCCTATTGATTTCTGCAAACACACAAACACCCTTCATCCACTCAAATGGGAACGGCTTGCTTGTGGCACGCGGGCTGTGGCCTTTTAGAGTCGTCTCTGAAAAAATACACATTCATGTTGTTTGTGGCATGTTCATTCATGGACATCGTATCCTGTTACACATATAATAACCATTCATGGCATCGTATTTGTGGCATGCCATTCATGGACATCGTTTCTGACATCAGGATCCTGATATGTTCAAACCTCATGAGTTCAACCCTCAGGATCGGGAGACGGACCATCCGTGTGCAGCCCGCGTGGTGCCGTGGCCGAAAAGAGACATCCTGCTGAGTGAGACCGGCGTTTCCTCATGCAGCCCGTGCGCCCGTGGGGGGCACCAAGTGAACAACTAAATGATCCCAGCTGTTGGTCTCCCACCATTGACTTGAGGGGGAAATCTACCGGAAACATCCGGAAACCATAGTTGTCAGCTCCCAATGCCATAGGTCTCCTGTAGATGTTCCGAACCAATTCTGGGAGGGTCAGGTCGACACGCATCCATCATCCAGATGCAAACATCTAGCAGTTCTCCCAGAGCTTAGGCGCTCTCCAAACAAGCCATGTTGGCAAATCGTGGCGCATTCGGATAGGTAGACCTGCCGGAAGAAGACCCCCGGGAAGGTTCAGAAAATCACATTACAGTGGTTTCAAAGGCTCGATGGCACAGACCTCAAGATGTCCTTCACATGGAGGTTCATGTAAACCACCAAACTTGGGGTAACTTGTGCCATCTGTAACTTGTGCCATGTCCTTTACATGGATGATGTTCTTGTGCCATCTATAAAAAATAACACAAAATAACCAAGCGCAAGGGGTTGGGGTCACCAAGCCAAACATCTTCACAGATCCCTGGACCTCTCCTTGACAGACACGAAAGAGAGCCCACCATCCACCTGGCGACGAGGACCAGGAGAGTTGGACGCCTTCGGGTGTAAGCAGGTCCAGTGACATGTCCCCAAAAGGGTTCCTCTCAAACAGCTTTTTGGATGTTTTTGCTGGGGGAAAATTCACCTTCCAAGTGGGCCTCAAAATCTTTCCAAGTTGGAACCAGAAATATTACAATTTGTTGTTTGCTGATTGACATGTAGACCCATTGAAGGGAAGTACCCAAGTCTGCGTCTTGTATGCCAATAGTTATACCGAAAGTCCGATTCTCCTTCCTCCAGAAATCATTGAACTTCTCTCACGACCCAAAAAAAATCTTCTCAAGCGTCTTCCCAAGGACCCCAAAAACTGGCTTGGCGGCTTGGTGCCACCTCATGGAGATGGAAGATGAAGAGAAGTCCCAACGAGTCAAAGCAAATGTCCTTGGGACCTTCAGACATGGTGAACACCAGGACCTCAATCGGCGGCTCACGTGGGTGATGCTGCTCCGCTGCGGAGAGCCGGAGAGGGTGCGGTGGAGGACTTTCTTCCGGTGGCTTGGAGGGGAAGGTCCATGGCACCCGGGGGATCAATCTGGAAGGCAAATGGACATGGAAAGGATCTACGGCATACGGCGAGTTGGAAGCTCCGGGGCCAAAGGGCCAAACCGACTCTCTGGAACCCATGAAAATGCTGACCTCCAAAAGTGCATTCATGTGTATATATAAATACATATATATATATATATGTATACTGTATATATATATATATATGTGTGTGTGTGTATTGTTTTTCTCGGAAGGTACTACCACACCCCGTTCCGACCCCCCCACCCGTGCCGCAAAGAACGGCCCACACACGAGCTTACACTGCGGGGGCGCTGACTTCACGCTCGCCAAGGGGCCATATCCACCAATCCCACCAGAATCACATAGCAGATCATTGCGCAATCCAGGAAGAGGCATGTCTGGGACCAGCGGCTCACATAGCTCTCGCGGCTTCCAGTTCCGGCATCACGCGCGTCCTTCTGCCGCCTCAACCTCAGGTGGACGTGCATGAGACTGGAAGGCGCTGCTTCGACGGAACATGGAATACCAGTGGTGGAGCTCGGCTCTAGTTTCTCAAAACCCAAGAAGCCAGTGAGATCAAGAAGCATAAGCCGTGGCCGTCACAGCAAAGCCACCCACTCAAAAAATTCATGGAAGCCCCACACCTTAACTTGCTTGTTGCACAAAACCACCCAAAGCCAATCGTCTGTGAACCTCTTCACCGGCCACCGAGAGTTTGTGTACCGGTGGGTTCTTCCCAGCGGCTCATCGAACAGAGAGGACAGCATCGAATTCTCGGTCGAAGCCTCCCCAAAATGGATCGGCCGGGATCGTGTGACATGACATCCACACTGGAGAGGGTGTGTATAGAGAGAGAGAGAGGTTCAATATACATATATATATATATGTATATATATATGTATATATCTTGTGTTTTATGTGTCAAGCCTTGACTAATAAGGAAGTGCAGGTGATGTCACACATGCCACACTTGGTGCTGGCGAATAGGGTAGTTAGTTGGTCGACAAGTTTTTGTTGTAGCTCAGTTTGCAAGTACCGGTAGAAAAATGGGCAAGAAGTGCTTGGGGAAAAAACATTTGCTTTGGTATGCTTGGGTGGAGAGTCCGCCCCATGGACCAAGAAGGATCCATGCCCCATTGATGATTAGAATATTCAAGGGCACCCAGCCTGGTATGGTGAAGATCCTGCCAATGACAAAGGTCATAAAATATCCTTATCAGCCTTATCATATCCTGAATTCGGTGCTTCTGGGGAGTGTGTGAGCTCACAAGTTGATCGACCGCATTCACATCAAATATCATCAAATCACATTGGACATCCAACATCAGTCCTAACATATCCATTCTCCTGCCAGCAACTTGCCGCCAAACATAGGGATTGAGACACTCGAGGTTTTTGGCGAGGTTTGGCTAAAGCAAGATTTGCTCAAGAAACACTAGAGTCTCTAGCTACTGGGCATCCCTCAAATCTTGGTGCCCTTCTTCCCTGCAACTCTTCTACCCATCCCATGGTTCCCTCCTTCTTGATGATGGAGAGGCAGTGGAGGCCGATGCAATAGGTGAAGGCAAATTCCAAGACACGTCCCAAAACGTGAGAACCTCCATAGGTTAAGTCTCCATAAACGTAGTTCACCTCATCACGTGGTGAACAAACGCCATCCAAACAAACGCCAAGACTGCTCGTGGCGGACTGCTCGTGGGGTCGCATCGTTTTCGCATGTCTTTCACACGTTTTCACCAGGTTTCGGCCCTGGTGTACTGACCTGGACGTACGTTCTGGGTGGTTTTCACTGATGCGATGTCGAGGACATCGCACAGGCCTCGTGCCGTCTCCAAGCGGAACAAATGTGTTCCGTATAAGATCTGGGCGGGTTCCCATGTAGCAATCTAAAGGCTTAGGCGGCTTGGGAGTCGGACATGCGCTCATTCAAAGAAAAGGAAGAAAAAATGAGCAAAGATGGGGTTCAAATATCCTCTGGGTGTGAGGACTTCCATCATAGAAACCAGCAAATAGACACTGCTTGACCTTATGCCCATTTGCACAGACCAATGTTTGATGATTCTTGTTGGAAACCGTGGATCTTCTTGGTCTTCTCAGGGTGAACATCCTCATCAGACAATACCCTTCGGCTCTTCCCCCCCAAAAGAAGGGTAGAGCTCCCTGTCGCGTGGATCGAGTCCATCCGACAGCCCCGGTCCGTCCATCCACCGCCCCGCCCAGGTACGAAGTGTATCTCAGTGCCTCGGGCGGAGGAGCCCACCGGAGGTAGGGGTGTGTGTGCCTGAGGAGGAGAAGCCCCAAGCAAACGAAACGGACCAAGCTCCATCGAAGCCGAGTTCTGGGTGGGTTCTGGATGAGCAATCTGAGCTGCGAAGAGACACGCGCCCTCACATCTCTGGACACCGGCAATCTGTTAGAGACGAACACATCATGGAAGTCGATGGCATGGGGGCCCCTGGATGAGCCTTTTCCTTGTTCCATTTCCATGGGAACCACCAGGGCCGAGAACCGAGCTTTTTGGAGAACATGCACCCAGGTGCGACAGGAAGGATGCCCAAGAGCCCATATATATCTTGAGCGGAAAACGCGCCCTGGGGATCCGCCCTAGGTCACGTCCAACGAAACGCGCGAAGGATGGATCCTCCACCTCCTCCGCCACGGAGCTGGACCAATTGTAGCGGTAGAAGCCTTGTCGCAGGATCGCCAGTGGCGCCAGGAGCTGAATGACCAGCACAAACCTGGCGAAGACATGACGGAAGAGGTCATGTCTGAGGCCGGGTAAAAGTGGAAATCCTGGAAGGTCGGCATAGGGCATAGGGTTACTTTAGCGAACGGGCAGAACTAATATGGCAGATATCGGTCGTATCCTGCGGCATCCTGAATTAAGGAACAAAACAACCAAATTCGTCAATCTCATCTCTGTACTTGCACCCATCTCCGTTCCATGAACGTGTCTGCAGGCTTAAAGTGAAACGAGACCTCGCGCCGACATCTTCGACATCCTTTTGGCGGTTTCACCTGGTTTCACCGTGTCACCAGGAGGTTGACCCATCCCTTCCTCCCACCTGAGGCCCAGGTAGTGTAACCAGCTTCGCTTCTTTCCGCCCAACGCCTCGGGCGAGCGAGCCGCACGGCGGCACCGTTGGGGGAGCGCCACGAGTTCCCGCTCCAAAAACACCGGTGCCGACTCGAGGAATGAGGAAATGAACTATAACTATCGGATGAATTTCGATAGCTACCTAGATGAGTCGGCCTGTAGTTCATCGAAATGAAACCCCTTTGTAAATATACCTATCGGATGAATGTCCTGCGTCGCTGGTATCGCGGCCCACATGGTGGCCGAGACTGGGCGGTGCCACCGGGGGGGGGTGCGGCGCGTCGTTCGTCGGGTTCGTCAGGTTCGTGCTCATTCATGTGCCACCTCGCGGAGCAGCCAAACCCTCCAACTCTTCGCCGGCCTTGATAGGTCTTGAAAGAGAGTTCGTAGTTAGGTCTTACGTGTTGGGCGTGTCTTCCTTCATGGTTGATGCGGCTTGGATGCCCAGTGATGAAAGTTGAGCTCGATCTTTTGATCCGAACGGCCGGTCTGGTCGGTCTGGTCCGAACGCGTGGCTTTTTTGTGAGCGGCCCAATATCGATAGATGTTGCTCTTGATGGGCGTGAAGGCTTCCGAGTTCGGAGGTGGTGGCAACGCGCTGATCTTCATCGCCAGCGCATGGAGGTTCTTGCTGTCCCTCACCAAGTCGCCTGGAGGTTCGACCGACCGACGAATGCGTTCACTCCTGCTGGTCTGAAGGATCGATTGCAGGATTCAGCGTTGCAGCGTTACTGGTGTTGCTGATGAACTACTATAACTGTAGTAGTACGACTTGGTGTACTTTATAGTACTGTGTATGGCATACTGCTCAATACTGCTCATGTGGTTTCAAGCGTTCAGTGTTGTCCATTCGCTCGGCGCGGTCAAGACTCTGGCAGCCGTGCTCCGCGTTACAACCACACTCCATGACATCATCATGGTTACGTGGATGGCCTGGCCACAGGCGGCCCTTTCGGAAAACAAGTTTCCTCTACAAACAGGTGGTTGTTCGTTCCATTGTTTCAGGGAGTGTGTATATGTATATGTGTGTGTGTGTGTCCACTTCCACCCTCTGCATGTGTTCACCCGGCCAAAGGAGAAGAAGAAGCATTAGGGAAGCCAGGGGCACAAGAAAGGGTTTTCATCCTCTGGTGCACAGAGGGAACCAATGAAGGTGGGAACGGAACTGGGTAACTTAGTATAGATGTATAATGATTATTATGAGCCGCATGGATGCCAGCAAGCTGACGAATCCACCACCCTCATGTTGTTTAAAAAGTCAGCTATTTAGCGGCAAGGATGTGTACAAATGATGTCATGGCTCCTAGATAAGAAACAGGAAGAGAAAACGATGATGGCCTATGGCGGGCCATTGGTTCATCGAAAAGAGCCAACATCGTGGACCTTGCACGTTGCTCAGGGGCCCCCGAAGACTCCACTCAAAAATGCTTCTGCTCCGCTACGGCTTGGTATCCTTCCGAGTGCACGCTGCTTTCCATGCGCTTGCCATCGCGCCAGAACCACCCAGCAGGAGCCCGTCTCCAATTCTGCCCCGTTGGGCAACTGCGAAGCCAGGGCGCTGAACAAATCCCCTCGTCGCTTCTCATCTCGCTGGCGCATCTCATCTTCTTCGCGTTGCTGGCCCTCTTCAGCATCGAGCCTTGACACGGGGCGATGCCCGGTGTTTTTTTCATCATCCCACACCAATTAATGTTTGGCACTATGTTTGGTCTCGAGACAATCACCGCTCCCCTCACCAAAGGGCACCCCCCCTTTTCATCAGAATCCCGGCTGAAAGCTCGATGTTTCACAAATGCATACCGTCCGGCTGCACATCTGCTTTCTGCCAAAGCTCTGCTGAGCTTGCCCCTCCTGTGACAGGAACCGCAGGTCATCGGTGGGAAAATGGTCTGCAGAAATCGATCGATTGGGCCAGGACCAGCTGCACTTTTCGGGGATCATGGTCTGAGTACGTGCTGGGAGGTGATGTATGCCCTTTCGTGCTCATCCTTGCCACGGGCCCCTTTGACGTCAAGGCCAGCAATCTTAGATGACTTCAAAATCTGCTAGCTCTTGTGATATGTTCAGCTGGTCCATCACCCCTACCAGCTGGTCCAACACTCTCTTTCAACAGAAGTCTCTCCTCTTCGGGTTCATCCAGCTCGTTAGCTGCTCGGCCACTCAGCACACACCTAGGCTCAGAGTTCCATCCTGGTTTACATCTGGAGGAGACGAGATGAAGGATGTTGTTTGAGGTGCAGATGTCAATCAGCCATTCGAAATTCAAAAAGAGCGCAGTCCTCACCAACCAGTGCGTTGAGTCTACTGAGTCTACTGATGGTTCACCCCATATTGACCAATGCCGCACCCTCAAATCCTGTGGGACAAGGTGGGTTATCCTTCACTTCACGCAAGCAATAAGTCCTTTCAGGAGCACTGGACGCATCAGGACACCCAAGCACGACTGGTGCATTGGTCCAATTGGTCCTTTCGGAAGTTCGGAATAACCAGAAATCTTCATGCTACAACTGCTGCCGCATGTTACCGCCCTCGTTTCGGACACCGGCACACCGATGAAGGGAACACCCTTTCGCACCCGTCCCACCTGAGGCTCCCGGCCAAAGAGCGGTGCTAGCCTGGGGATACGCGTCAGGTGCCGTGCTTGGGGTGCTTGGGGTGCTTGGTCACAGGAGAAAAACATCTACGGGAAACCATAGTTTTCACCCCCCGAACACTGGGTGTCCTGTAGGTATGTTCCTTTAACATCCTTTAACATCCTTAAACGATCTTAAATCTTAAACCAATTCTCGGACCCCAGGTCCCATGCCATCGCTAAATGTCCCCAAACCTTCTATTAATTTGCTTTTTCTTACAGGCACATGGAACCTTCTTTACGGAAAAAAACTTACCAGAAAAAGCAAATTAATGAATAAGAAATTAATGTATTACCATGAATTTTTACCCTCATACCCCATTCAACTAGGTTCTCTGCTCAGTCAAAACAGGCCAAGGCTCGATGATCACCAGCACCAGCGCCAACGCTGCTTCATGGAATTGCTTGCTGAACTCACCTCAATTACGTTCTTGCAGTCGTTCTTGCATCCCCTTCCCTGCTCTATCTTGCAGCCCTTCCCAGGCACAACGCTTCGAGATCGCAGAGAGGTGGAGACCTCCAAAGGTCCCCAGAAGAGAACCCATCAAGCCTTCGCCTTGCCACTTCCACTTCCATGGTGCCCAGACGCATTTCCCGGCATAGAGCTGCCGAGCGGTGCGATACTCCAGCTTGTCCTCGAAATCGCCTTGAAGGTGGTGCTCTGAGTCGATGTGGTTCTCGAGTCCGCCAACAATGGATCCAAATGGGTGTGTGTTAAACATTAGGGAAACCTCCCAGTGAAAAACCCCCTGCAAGGTTCGGAAAATAGACCTGTGACCTATCCATCAATTGAATGGATCTCCCTATCACAAGGCACACCCATTGAGGCCCAAATGGCCCATAGTATAGCTCCTGTGTTTGGTGGTTGTTCCTCAAAATGATATACTGGAAGGACTCACAAGAGCTCAAGGTCCAGGGTGCATTTGACTACACCGAGCTGGATATACTCCAACAGGGTAGTCAAATCCGGATAGGCTTCCTTGAAGGCCGGGCAATCACTTGCGCACTGGGAATTTACGTCACTTGCGCACTGGACATCACTTGCGCACTGGGCATCAATCACTTGTGCACTTACCTGCTTCCTAGCTCGGGGGTGGGGCCTACTCCACATGCAACTAATGAGTGGGTTGGGGTGGGGGGTAGGGGGGGGTGGGGGGGTACCATACAGTGTGACTCTGAAGTGCTGAAAAGGTTGCCAGGTTGGACAAGGTCAACATCTTTACACACCCACACAGACATTCACGTTTTGATTGCCTTTCAAATCAAAGCACACTTCTGCCACACAAACTCACTTGCGCGCGCAAACTATAATGAGTGGGTTGGGGTGGGGGTGGGGGGGGTTGCAGTTGCCAACCATACAGTGTGACTCTGAAGTGCTGAAAGGGTTGGCAGATTGAACAAGGTCAACATCTTTACACACACACACACTTATCAATATGTGTGCGTTCGAAATGCCGCAAGCCACACGGAAACCTAGGTAGTTCAGAGTGCCTGAGAGACCAGGTAACGAAGAAGTGAGGAGGCGTCCGACCACAAATTCAGATGCCGAAGTTTAACATTCAAATCAAGTTCAAATCAGAAGTCAAAGATGAAACCCAAGTTCAATCGAGCGAAACGAGCGACAGGGACGACGTTCGACTTCAAGATACAAGCTAAGAAACCAGCAAAGTTGAAGAGAAAAGTCACAGCTTGTTGAGCAGGTACGTTTACAGCTCTTACCATTGGCCTCTTCGGTGGCCATCCACAAATGGTCAGAGGGATGGCCCCCTGCTTCATGAACGGAAGAGAGAAGAGAGGAGGAGACGAAGGAAAAGGAGAAGAAAGCGAGAGCTTCCACGTAATCCAGTGGGGGCTCACGTTTTGATTTCCTTTCAAAGCACACTTCTGCCACGCAAACTCACCTGCGCAAAGACACCGGAAACCTGAAGTTGATTTTGATTTATATAGTGGTGGAAAACACAAGTCCGGTAAACTCATGCAAGATGGTTCAGCATGGTTCAGCATGGGTGTGTTGCTTGTGCAGTGAACGTGTACAACCAGGACTGGAATTGCTTTGACATATGTCTCTCCGTGTCTTTGGAGACATGGATGCAAAAGAAGACGACCAATGAGTCACTCACGGACACCCTGTCTTCCGACTTGCCGACAACGTCTGTTGCTCAAATGCACCGTGAATCTTCTGAAAAATCGCAACAACCAAAATACACACGATCGGTCTAATAAAACAAAATCACAAATGTCAAGTGCACAAGCGACAAACAATTCAAGTCGACATGAATTTCAAGTGTACAAGCGATTGCTCGCCCTTCGTTGAAGGACACTGAGCACGCCACTACCCACACCCACTTTAATCAGCCCTTGAAGTACTTCTATAACTGTCCTTCACACAGAACCCAGGCCTACTCTTATCTGATGTCTTGTGGTGCGTTTGGGACTGTGAAGCCTTCCACCATCTTCCAACTTTGACCACCCGAAATCGATCACCCAAGGGGCCATAGATCTCCGTGTGGTTCACGCACTCGCGTGCCAGTATGCCCAGGTAGGGCCGGCAATTGCACTTCAGCGCTGCCCTCAGAGGGTGAGCTGCCAGAATGGTCTACAATACATCAACTCCAGCAGGAGTTGGGTATCTAGCACCAGAATGAGAATCCAGTTGCTTCCGAGTTCGCTAGCACAGCAACTGAACATGAAGCCTGGGTTGTTTCTGTTCCTTCCCAACAGGCACACCAAAGGCTGGCTGCGCTTGTAGACTATACTTACTATACGCGTACTTCTTTTGCGGGGGAAGTGGTATTCAGCCACTGCCACCTCTAGCCCGGTAGCGCCCTGCAAGGGAAATGCAATGAGATGGAAATTCCAATGCATTCAATTGTCTTAGTCCTAATTTATCTTCTTTCACAGAATCTCACCAACTCCCGGGAAATTTAGGAAATTGCCAAGCAACAGCTCCGTCCTGAATGGTGCGCAGCCCTTAGTTCTTTTGCTTGGAACGGTCGGCTTCGCCCAGCAACCAGGTGTGACCCTGTGATGCCCTGGAAGAGACCCACATGGAACCTGAAGACCACTGAAGAAAATCGCGCGAGATTGTTCGTCCGTCTCTAGGTGAAAAACGCCACAGCGAACAGCCAAGCCGTGGTGAAAGAATAAGGTCTTGGAAGTCCGGTCTATTTCAGGTTCCACGTTCATCTTCCCGGCCGGGTGCAACACCTTTGCGGCAAAGACGACAAAAGACGACATATCAGGTTCAGAGTTGCCGTCCAGCCCCCTCCGTTGTTGTGCATGGTTGTGATTGTGAGTTGCAAGTGTATCCCAAAACCGGTCGTGTCATGTTCAGCTGGTGCATGGGGTCATTGTATGTCATTGTTCGTTCATTGATGTAGGCACTTTTGCCCAACTGCTCAAGCCAAGCACAAGCCAAGCATAGACAGATTCAATACAAAGCATCCTCATGCTCAATCCGATGTATTGCGAAATCCTTGTTACTTAGCACCTCAAACGAGGAGTCAATCAAGCACCACCCACATGGAGGTGCATCACAAGTCTCACAATCTCACCCACCGAAAAACTGTCCAACTGTCATGAACACCAAATGGCAACATAAGTGTGAACAACGGTTCAACCTCTCTGCAGAGAATGAGCAAAGCCGTCACTGATCTTCAAGTTCTCTCCAAAGACCTATATGTGACTCGTGCGTAGTCTTCCGCCGTAGGCCCCACCACCAGTGTTGGAAAAGAAATTGTTGAGCAGTTTTGGGTCAACATCACGCAAAATCCGATAGTCCTACAGTTGGTGGACCCCCTTCCCTCTCAGCGTCCATCTGCTTCCATTTCCCTTTCCGTGGGCACAGTCCTCATGGATCGAGGAGCACAACGAAGGATGGAGCTCAAATCATCACCGCTGACCCCCACAACCGGTGGATTCATCCAAAAAGGGTCCATCAAAGCGAATGGGATTCTCAGATCAACCAGTGGATCTCGGTAGACCGCAGTGGATTTCTTCTTTGGAGCTCGGTCGGAGGCTTCGTGGAGCTCCGGGCGAGCAAGTGCGCCAGATCTTGTTTGAGCGAACGCATGCTTCGCGGGCGACATGACAACCACACACTCCTCAATCGCTCAGTTCTGCACAAAAAGGGCCGGGCTAGGTGCTCTTCCAATCAGGAACTTCCAGTCAGGAACTTCCAATCAGTCAACTCCCAAAACCGGGGGAGCCCTGTTCTGGATGTCCCACAGCTTCCAGGGGTGCTTGACATCTTAAGAACTTGGAATCGCATGGACGAGTGCGCACGCCAAGAACTCCGACGTTCAATGGCATGTGCCCAGCCCCTCCCAGTCCTTCTTTCTTCTCTCGGGCCTCCTGCGGGACTGGTTGGGAGATCGCACGGACACGCGGATCACGAAGAGACCGGAAGAGGTTGACTAAGAGACATCAGGATCAACATGTTTTCTCTCCTTCTCCTTCGGATCCTTAACCCCCAAAGTACTCTGGCAAAGCCCCCCCTGACTTCTACGGAAAACCGTAAGAATACAGAGCAAAAGGCCCGGCCGCTTCTTCCCCATGTTCTTCCAGATGAAAAAAAAAAACTGCTCAGCAGTCGGCCCAGTCGGCCCCTTTTCGGCCGTCAGACGGGCCGTCAGACCGCTTTCGCGCCGTTGCCAGTGTGAAACGCTCCTCCAAGGCTCGCTGGAGACCCACTTTGAAGCTGTACTTGTCCTCCATCATTCGAAAGACATCCTCACCGATGGTCTTTCCACCGATGGTCGACACGGAGGACGATCCGTCAGACTGGGCGTGGTCTGGTGACGAACGCCGGGGGGTCCTCTGGTTCTCGTATCTGATGGGGTGACGAACGCTGGGTGGGAAGGCTGACGAAAAACATGTAGAATACAGCAAAATGCATATTATATCGTATTTTAATAACCCTCGTCTTTTTTGGACCCCGACCACCAAAACAGACGTGTCCAGGCCTCCTTCCTCGCACGAAAGAAACATACGATGTCGTCTTTCCCAGAAAGGGGGGAGTTTATGGGCGTGGTTCATCTCTCTTTGAGTTGCTCCCTGGTGCATGTACAAAGGATGTTCCAAAAAGTCAACTCTTCCCACGTGCCACAGTGAGGTTAAGCTTGGACTCACCAAATACCTGCACAAGTCCAAGAGAGACCACCCTTGAGCACCTCCAAACCCTTCTTCTGCAAGGGCTGCAGGATCTCTGTGTCATTCTCCTGCAGTCAAGGAGGCTTTCAGGACCTTTTGGCTTTCGCGTGTCAGCTTGGGTAAGTGATCTGTGCTGGACACCCTCCACATACAAAGCAGAAAGAAAGTAGCACATCTGCGCGCAAACCTGGGAGACGTGGAGTAATCTGCACAAGCAAAACAGCTAGGTATAGCAAACCCATCTGACCCCAAACAATCAATTATACATATACGTAGGATTACGTAGGCATAAAATCCTTATCTTCCCACTTCCTACGCTTCCTTTTCCAGCTTCTACTTCTGAAGCTGAATTGTCCAAAAGAAACCCTCCCTTATCCATGCAGGAGAACTTCACAGACCAACACGCACCCCCTGCAGTGGCTCGAACCTTTTTGTCATCTTGAGATCCCATCTCACATCTATTCTTGACCGGAGAAGGTGATGCGTTGAGCATGGTCATACTCCGAAAACACCTCACGTGACGGGTCCATTTTCAGGGTCGGCTCCCCACCCGTGGAACGGTTCTCCAAGGCGCCGCCCAGATGAGACCCTCACGCACCCCATGCACCCTGCTGGCAAGCCTGCGGCTCCACGGCCATGTGCCACAAAGCTAGGGCAGGATGGGAAGTCCATGCGAGGTCTGGTAAGTGGTTAGTTTCAAAAGAGGCATCAGAATCTATCTCAACCTCCACCTCTGTCGTGGGGAGGCCATTTCAACCTCTGCCCATCTCAACGATCAGCTCGGACGGCTCGGCTCACGGGTCTCCACCGGCGATGTGCGACCGCACTGCGTGAGGCGCCGAAGCATCCCACCGGTATCCACTGGTGCTCTAAAAGCATCCCCTTGCTAGAGGCTGGTTGAGATGGACAGTTCTCAAAAACACTCCATGGTCATCTACCAGCTTCTGTCAGCACATGATGACCATCTTCCGAAGTTTAATTTGTGTTTGGGGGTGAATTTTGGGCTGTCGGGATGCTCAGAAGTGCAAGCTGCTCTATCCAAATTGATCCAAATTGAGGGGCCAATGCTGGGACAGGTCAAAGTTGTCAGTGCTTGACATCTTCCATGCCATGCCCACCGCCCTGCAAAAAAGGACTCAAAGAGCCAAACAAATCCCTCGGCAACCTTCCCTTGCAGAACGAGGTGCTGGAGGAACAAAGCCCATTTGGCCTCAGATGGCTACAGTGTATGACATACTATGCGTTGCAACGCATCTTTTTGTGAGTATGAAGCACCCTAGGATACCCTAGGCCCTAGATGGAACCAAAAAGTGGATAGGGTCACAACTCTGACTGTCTGACTGTGAACAATGCAGATGTTGCTCCCTTCCTGGTTTGCATACTGGATGGTAGGGAGGAAAAATACCTTTGCCTGCCAACCTCTCTTCAACATGCCATGCAAAGCACAGACCCATACCGTACCCATACCGCACTATTTAAGCCAGAGGTCCCATGGCATTCCCACCAAGCTGCGCATATGAAACTGCGAGGCCGGGCACATGGCATGGCCACCTGCAGAAGGGCCTGACCCTTGAGCCAGTTGAGCAGCACGGAGCATGTCCTGTGCTGACTTGGCCCTTCCGGACCGAAGCTGAGCGGGGCAGACTGGGCTTCTCGCCAATGGCATTGCACAAAACCACCAGCTCTCCAAACGGTCATGATGTATTGGGGACTTCTGGCAAGCTCCAACTCACGCCAGGATACCGGTTGACCCACCGACGTCAAATCAAGCTTCCTGGAATTGGACCGGCTCCGCATGGCTCCGCGCGCCTCCCGCGCTGCCGGACCCCATGGAGCTGCCTCAAGCAGTATGAGCTGCCGAGGCGGAACATTGAGGCCCAAAACAGAACGTCATGAGAACATACATACTGTAGGTAGGGTAGGGTAGAGTAGGGTAGGGTTGTGATGTACTGTATTGTTTTGTAATGTACCGTACTGTATTGCATTGCAATTGTACAGTAATTGCAATTCAATGTAAACTTAAGTCCCGAACAATTCAACTGTCCCAACTGCTGGTGCGAACAGTTCACTGAAGCACCATGACTTCTTGAGACTCTGGGGCCTGCGGCTCTGTCCTACTCTCAAGGACTGGGTAGCCCGTATGAGGGAAGGCTTAAGAGTCTCCCCATGTTGGGACCTCAGCAGGTCTTGTTCACTAAGACTTAGCCTTGCTGAGTGGGCCTGATAGCAAAACCCGGCCTCGTGGTGCTGAAGGAGACCGCTCTGGGGGTGATACCCTTGTTACATACCGGACCTTGTTCGCAGGTGCCAATCCTAAAGCGCTGCGGCATCCATCATCCGTTACTCGGCATGGTGTGAGTGAAGTGTGTCTACATCGTATTCTACCAGGAAACGATCCATACATATCCAGAGCCCGATGCGGGGGTGGGAGCCTCAGTGGCTATGGCATCGGGTCTTTGGTTCTAGGAGTCCTGTATCAAGCAATAACTCATTTTGCAAGGGGCCAGCATGTTCCCCCATCAACATCATACCTAGCCTAGCACGCATAAATTTAAGAGCTTTCAGTACGTCATATTACGTCCACTTTCATCCGAATACGTGTAGGTCCCTTCGAGTCGAAGACTCCTGGACCGCTCTGGATCCCTCGACACCCTCGGCTTCGTCCGAGATCCGAGTCCACCAAAAACCGGGCTCCGAACCCCCGCCCGCCTGCTTTCGGGCTGCCAGAAGCACTTCTGGTCTCTTTCTCCGAGGACTTGAAGGTCAGCACCGATCCCTTGCCGTGCGTCCTCGCGGTCGGCCGCCAAGGGACGGAGGTGGAGAGGGTGGGACGGCGAGGCGGGAGTGGAACAAACGGGGATCGTCCGTACGGGTCGGGGTTCGGTGCGACCAGTTTGTTCAGAACCCAGTGTCCTCCTCCTAAACAAGGTGGACATATCATATCACATCTCAAAATTGAAAGATATTGAAAGTGTTGACTGACATGCATGACCAAAGTATATCAGTACATTATCCCAACCAAAATAATGACTCAATGTACTAATATACTAACTCACCTCAACATCTCCAACAGCGAAACCATCATAATCATGGTCAAAGACAAGCGCTGTTCACCTTCAGTCCCGACAGCCCCACCCGCTTCAGTGTTCCACTCACCGCGTCGCTCACCGGTGGGTGCCCGCTCCTGGGCGTGTCTTCCGTGTAAAGGAAGCGGCCAATCCCTTCTTCCTTGCCTCAGTGGGACAACAATGGGCACTGCGGGACGGGCGACCTGGGCACGAACGATCCATCAATCAACGACCAGAGTGGCCTTGTCGGTCCTTGACCAATCGAACCCCTACCATGTCCTAATCAGCCGACGGGTGTTAAACGCATGTAGCCGATTCGTAGTGCTTAACCAGCATGGCTTTGTGGATGAACTCGTCGCAGCTGTGCATATCGCCACGGATCCTGAAGCCGAGTGGAACACTCAGTGTCAAACTCTGCGTGCCTTCCTGAAACAAGCGGAAATGCTCCAGGTACGGCATAAAATTGTGCCTGGCACAGTTTCCCCGACAGGCTGCATTTTCTGGCGTGGCAAAACTTAGGCGAAGTGAGAAGCGAAATCGCACGATATGTTTTCTTGGCAACGCTCAGCGTCCCATGGTTGTTGCGTCGATGGCTTGAATTGACTCCACACAAACACACACAGCATCACACAGCTAATTTTCCGCAAGGCTGGATTCCAGAGACCACGCTTCAGGCACAACCAAATCATTGAGTACCACTACCAAGGACCAATGGGTCCGTACTGACCAAGTGGACTGAGGAAATACCATCCGCTGCCGTTGGATTCCGGAAGCGGTGCAGAACACGATCCATCAAGTTTCCCGTCTCTCACGTGACCTCATCTGAAGCTTCCAACCCTCGTTCTGCTTCAAGCACGCCAGACCTCAGCCCAGCATCTGTTGAAACTCATGTAACTCATGTACCATGGCACAGCTGTCTTCAATACTAGTAGGAAGGAACGCTAAAGGTTTGACGTTGGATTTTATTTTTAAAAATCCTTTCGAGCTGAGGTCATTTCTTTATTTTTGTCCAAACGACACTCTTGTGGGTCTCTCTTACGGGGCGCTCTTGTAGGACACTCTTGT